GGAACACCGTCGAGCACAGATAATCTCGAATCAACTGCTCTCGATAAGCCTTGAGGAAATTTTGACCAACTTGGGTCCTCCACAAGGCTCGACGAGACTGCTCGATGGCAGTAATAGCAGCAGCCTCAACTTCTTTCTTTCGGCTGGCCCGCTCAACCTCGAGAGCCTTCTCTTTGCCTTGCAACGCCTCCTTAAACCGTTGCTCATCTTTCTTTATCTGCTCAGCTAAGGCATGGCGGGTCTTGAGCAGATCCTCATTCTCGGCCTTCAACCTCCTGTTCTCCTCCTCGAGACGCCTATTATCGCCCTCGAGCACAGGAATTGGGCGACCGGTGCTGTTCAGCGTTTCCTCGAGGAGAGGCACGACAGAGACCAAAGTCTGTGGCAAGAGTAAAGTCAAGTACAACACGAAGCAAGGTGCTCGAAGATAAGGTTAAGGAAGGAAATATACCTGCGTCACCGCACGAACAGCATACTCGGCCTGATTGCGACGATTCACCCCCCTACGATGTGTATCGTCAAAGGGCAGAAAGCTCATCAGCCGAGACACGGTCTCTCGGGGACCGGCCGACACAAGCGACAGCGAAGAGTATGAAGGAGGAGGATTCCTGGAAGAAGCAGCTTCAGGTTGTGGTCGCTTGGGGGAAGGAAGTGGATTCGCGGAGAGGGGACCAGTCCCTTCAGTTCGAGGACGTTTTTTGGAGGCGTCACTCTCTTTTGTCGAGTGGGAGGAGTGACGCTCGACTTGCTTGGGAGGAGGATAAGGAGCTCGTTGCCTGCTCGAATGGGAGGAGGCGCCAGCACCAGGCTTCTCTGGTCGAGAGGGGCCATCTTTGGTCGAGGAGGGGCCTTTGGTCTTCTCGACGTTGGCAGAAGTGTGGGCAGACCTCTTATCACCTGACTTCTTCAAATCCGGCTTATGCAAAAATCCCTCTGCAAGAATAATAGAGTTAGTCGGAAGTCGAATCAACAACAGTAAACAAATCAAAAGCACGATGATGATTCGAGCACCTGCTCGAGCTGTCTTATTAATTTCAGCAAGCTTAGGGTCGACACGAATTTGGAGAATGGTCTCGGGGGGGGGAGAACGCCTTATGAGTCAAAATTCCACAATAGTGGAGAAGATTATCATTCTCAAGGAGGGGAGTCGAAGCAACAGGATTGGAATTCCACACTTGGATGCGACGGTCGAAGATGGGGTTAGCAGCAGGACGGGCAGGTTTTAGAGGTACTTCGGTAAGCCAAGGAACAGGCGCCCAAGGATAGGGCTGAGGGGGACGAACATATACAAACTGGTCTTTCCATCTTGGGACATTGGATGGTCGATCAGTGATAAAACAAGCTTTATTCCGGCTCTTTAAGTAAAGACTGTCTGCTTGTGTAGAAGCGAAATAACAATATACAAAAAAATCTAAATCTACTCTACCCATGCGAACCATGGACAAAATAATAAAAGAGGCTAAAGTTCTAAAGGCGTTGGGAGTAATCTGGTTAAGGGGCAGGCCGTATAAACCACAGAGGTCGAGCAGCGCTGGGCAAATAGGGAAGCGGAGACCGAGGTCGAAGTGGGCGCGGAAAAAGGTGTAATAGCCCTCCGGAGGATTATCATAGGTATCGTCATCGTCAGGGGTACGAGCAGCTCCGGGATGGCCAATCGCAGAAAAGTCGAGATGGGAAGCGCTCGTCGATGGTTTGGA